AACCCCAAGGGGAGGGGAGGGGGGGGGGGGGGGGGGGGGGGAGAAACTTGGAAGCCCTTTGATTGAAGTCACACTCGGGTTTTATATTCCTCGATGAGGAACTCTCCACTCACTCTCACGAGATGGACAAGTTTCTCCTCTCGACGCATATGTGCCATCGAGACGTGGGAATTATATCCCCCTTAAAACGGGAGGGGGGCGGAGAGGGGGGCAGGAGGGGGGCACACTTTGAAGGACCGAGCGGTAACAGTTCCCCTATCGCCCCGCAGGGAGTTCTTCTACATCCAGATGGAGAAATACGCGAGGCAGGCCATCTCGGAGGGAGTCAAGTCCGTGGATGACCTCCGGGTCACTGCCGACTCGGAGCTCTTCCGCGTTCTCAATCTGCACTATAATCGCAACAATCACCTCGAGGTAAGACTTCCTTTTGAGATTTTTTTTTGAGAGCATCTGAGAGCGTCGGAGGTGTGGCTGAGGGGGGAGGTCGCCCGGAGGCGTGTTTATCGCCGTAATTGCTCGGTTAATGCTTTTATGGAGCGATTTAAATGCGTGAGTGGGATATCGCTCGGCCCTCGTTCGCCCTCGGAGATGAAGAGATCGAGGGTGGGATCGAGGGTGCTCGGACCGGGGGACCGGGATCGGAAAGAAAATTCTCGTCTGCACGAGGATTCCGTCAATAAAAAATAAAAAATAGAAAATTTCGTTCAATGTTTTAGGTTTTCAATCGAGTTATTCTGATCAGGGTTGCAACTTCAAGTCCATATGCTTATTTTATTATTATGGTCGAAAATCAATTTCATTCGGAGGAATGCGCTAAAATGGAGTTTGACTATCGTCGGACGGGGTGAGGATGTTTGTCGATGAGTTACGCGAAGAAAAATTGGTTTGGGAAGCTTGGGTCATTCGGCGACGAGGGAGACGATTAGTTGAGTCGAATGAAGCGAGGTGTCCGGGTTAGATGCGGGTGAAAGATGAGGGCCGCCTTGAATCGATCGCTTCATTGCATTCCCTTCTTCATGAACGCGTCTTGAGTGAGGGGGGGATACAATGCGGAAACGCTATTTTCGTCTTTCCAAGAAATGGGTCTACAAGATCTTAGGAGGAACTTGAGTTCAGAATTGCATCCCCCCCCCCCCCACGTCCATACCATCAATTGCAAGCCCTCCATCCCGCGCTCTCGAATCGCTTTACCTCCCATTCCCGCCGACATCCCGCTGATTTCCCTCCCGTTCCCGGAATCCAGGTGCCGTCCAACTTCTGCTACGTGGTGGAGCAGACGCTGAAGGAGTTCTACCGCGCTCTCATGGGCGGGAAGGACGCGGAGCCGTCGTGGAAGAAAGCCATCTACAAGGTCATCGCTCGCCTCGACGACTCCGTCCCCGAGTACTTCAAGCTCCCGTCGTTCCTCGAGCAACTCGAGTGACCTCCCTCCTCGAGTGACCTCCCTCGAGAGACCTCCTTCCTCGAGTGATATCTCTCCTCGAGAGACCTCCTTCCTCGAGTGAACTCCCTTCTCGAGAGACCTCCTTCCTCGAGTGACATCCCTCCTCGAGTGATGACCTCCCTCTCCTCGTTTTATCTATCTCCTGTTCTCCTCCTGTCACGTGAGAGACTGCTTGTGCCTTCCCCCAGTCGCGCCTTCCAAGGAACTCGAACGCGAGAGACCAACAAAAGAGATTTTCACTTATAAATCGTATCTCGGCAAAACCGCTGCCTTCGCCCCCCGCACCTGTACATACGCTACCTGGCATCTTCTCTTCTTTTCGGCTTTCCCCTTCGTCTCGCGAGAAGAAGATGAAAAAAATCGCTATTATCGCTCTATATTCATATCAGAGTATTTTCTGGTGTGTTGACGTTTTCCTCGACATATCCGTGGACTCCAAGTGGCCATGCGTTTGTAGATATACCAAGAACATTCCACTCACACTGCACACATATCACTTCGCACCAAATTTTTTCCTTCTAAAAAGCAACCAAATAACCCCCTTTCTCCTTCGAATCCGAACCCGGCGTTTGTGATGAGTTCACTAGTCACTCTCCAATATTCAACTATTCCTCTCGATCCTTTCTTGGGTGAAAGATCTCTTTCTGGTGAACCGACGGGAATCAACGGGCCAGTATTTTGCTTCTATTGGGATATCCAGGGCATTTCCTGAGTTTTTGTTTTTTGTACATAGTCTTCGAGACCAAAGAGATCATTTTCCTCCCATTTTTTTTTTGTCGGGCTCCGAACCCCAAAATTCGAAGCCTTCATGTAATAATTTTTTCGTCTAGTCAAGTGCAGACCAATGGAATCTCTGCCCTACAAAAAAAAAGAGAAGAAATTCCAACCAGTGGAGACATCTAGCGGTTACCGAAGTCAAAAAGCGACTCCTTTTCCCGATCCCTCTAGTCGATTTTGAGCATTTTTGTTCTCGCAGCCAGTTTCCGCCTAGTTTTTGAAAAAATTTTGAATTTGTACAAATTCTCAGTTCTCCTCACTGCACTTCACTCCTGCCGACACGGACACCAGGCACACACCGACACCCCCGTTACACTATTTATTGTTGTATGTATTCCACGAAAGAGAGCATTTTTCTCCCCCCTCATCCCGAAGAGATCTCGTCTCTTCCCCGATTTGCCTTGCATTCATTGTATTTGAAGAGAAAAAAAAAACTGTGAGATAAAAAAACGCATTCCTCCTGCAACCGAGCCCGGTTTTCATTTCGCAGAAGAAGCGAGAAGACACCTGCCCGCGTGCAGCCGCGCACTTCCCTCGCCGCAAGTGTCCTCCAGGCACACTTGCGGCTCACTTGCGGCTCACTTGCGGATCGCCTCATGTCGTGAACATCATCGCAGAGCCATCAAGGCCGAGTTGATTCGATGCAAACAAGAGAAGAAGAGAAAAACTCCGTCGAAGACGCATATAGTCCACAAGGCAGTACTTCCTGGTACTTTCCGGTGCTTAAGTGTGATAATTTGATACGCCTCTAGAGAATTAAGTTATAGTTAGCTCAGCAATTTCCTGTTACCTAAAACCGACTTTCACTCACACCAGTTGGTTTGGACGCAATTTGGTTTTTGACAGATGATGTCGGAAAGATTCATTCATGAGATTGACGGTGGCGACGGCGAAAGCGAAATTTTCCGCTGCTGAGCCGCGAACCAGATCTCGTTCTTTCTCCTCCGCACGCGAGACATCTAGCGGCGACTCGCGGAAGGTGATGGAATTTTTCCTCCTTCGGAGAGACGACGGGGACCTGTGCGTTTCGGGTGTGGCTCGGGCGGGAGGCAGGAGAAGCGACGCTTTCGTCCTCGAAGTGTAGGTGTCTCTCGCTTCGCGTCTTCGCCCACGCTTACAGCTGCGAGTCCCGGCGAAACTCGGTCAACATCGTGTTGATATTGATGACAGTGACTTCTCGAATGTATATCTAACCCAATGAACCGCGAGTCACAGTTGCTCGTGTGGGAATCGTTTGTTATCGCTTCTGCCGACACTTTGAGGAGAATGCAGGTGTTTTGAGGGGGTCAGAAAATTTTTTTTTCAGCAGATAGCAGCTTTCGTAACGGTTTACTTGCGATTTGAGGGGTGAGCGGTGTTACTTTTCCAGGACCGGATGGGATTTATCTCGAAGAAGTATGACAAATATATATATTTTTTTTTAACGCGCGAGGCAAAAAAAAATTGCAGTTGCACTTTCACAATTCACTCGAAGGTAAATAATGCAATCGAATAAAAAAAAAGGCGAAAATATCATTTAACTTCACGCTGCGACCTGTGACGCACGAATGACACATTTATACGAAACAGCTCTGCGAATGAAACAACGCGGGGTGGGGGGGCAGAGGAGCAGGTAGGTTAGCAGTTAAGTTGGAACATTGGTTAATACAATGACGTTTTTAGATATTTCACAAATTTATCTGTAAGGGGGTCTGCAAAGAGCTGGTTGTACCCCTTCCCGCACCCTCTTCTCTCCCCCTCCTCCACCCTCTACCCCCTCCCCCACCCCTTCCCCCACATCAGGGATTTTCCCCGTTATTTAACACTCTCCTGAGCTTTATTTATTTATTTATTCTCGCTGTTGGTAAACTCTCCTAGAAGCATTTCCATCCGATGGCACTTTGATGTCGCCCCGACGTCACCTACACAACAGTGGCGTAGCGAGGGGAGGGGGGGGGCTGGGAGGCTTCAGGCCCCCCCAACTCCGGTCTAAATGCATCCGCCAACCCCTCCCTCCCCCCACAGGGCGAGGAGAAGTAAGCCCCTCCACCGTTCCGCTTAGCCCCCCC